GGGTTTGATCTTTTGCGTGTGGCTATATAATAATTATCTGCCATAACGTATCTACGATTTTGATTAATTTAAATTGATAACACTTAGAACCTAAGTTTTATAATAAAAAGTGTTATAATCTAAGTTAGATAATATATATAGATAATATATAAGATAAAAAATTAGATAATATATAAGATTTAGATATTATTATGTGTTGAGTTAAAATATTATACGTGACTTTTTGTTGCGTCCAAAATGCAGAGCGACGTTATATTATAAAATATTATAAAGACTGATCCTTTTTTTTTTCAATTATTATAAAACTACAATAAAAAAAAATTATGTTATCAGTAAAATTTAGTAAAAAAAATTATAAAAATGAATATATAAACTAAATTACAAAAAATTAGTAAATATAATAAAGAATATCTTTCCAAGTTTCTAATCGCAGGTTTTTATTGCAAATAAAAAAGTTCCGAAAACAACGATATCTTGGCAACGTGACTTTCACGTTTTTTTCACGTAAAATAGTCACTTGGACGAGGTCACGTAAAATACACGTGATTAAGACGTGAATAAAACGTTGCGTGCCTACTGGGTATTAAATATATCGAAAGTAAGATCTCAAAAAGCATTTCCATGTTATATTGAACAAAACCGTTTCTTAATAATGAATCTTTAAAAAAATATTTTTTTCGTTTATACACAGTTATCTTTCTTACTGTAACGTTGCCTGGGGTAGCACTAATCACGCTAAACTCAAAAAAATTTATAGTAATTTCTTTTTAATAATTTTTTATAAACGGCAAAATGAAAAAGAAAAAAAAAAATTTGATAACCCCCTGCACACAAAAAAAATTAAAATTAAAAAAAAAAAAATCTTTATTTTTTCTTTTTTTAAGTATTTAAATTTATCTTAAAAAGTTAGATTGTTGACTTCAACTTTACTTGACCTCCCCACCCCGATCCCTTAACCTTGTCAACACTGTCAATAATTTCCAGACCCTCCCCCCTACCTTCCTCCTTACTATTTTGCTGGCATAATTAATAGACATTTATGTATTTTTTACATATATTTATTTGTGTACGCCAATAACTGTAGAGACTTTGGTCGATGACTGTATGCCTTAGTAAAGATAAATTGGCTTTGCGTCGGTACAGCTGAATGCCGACTTGGATTTCGAGGGCTGTTTAAGTTTCTTAAATTATTTAAATATATAATTTGTAGATGAATTGTTTATAATCTATGAACTTTAATTAATTTCAGAAATATTTTATTTATAATATCAAAAAAATAATTAACTCTCAAAGGTTACAAAAAAGCCTTTCGTTATTATGACAAGAACAAAGACGGTTTTATAAATGCAAAAGAGTTTCTATGTTTGTTGAGAAATCTTGGGGAAAATCCAACAGAAGATGAACTTTTTGACATGCTGATAGAGGTACCTTTAATTAGTTAATTTAAAAATTATTTTTTATTAAGATATACCTAATAAAGTTAGAGAACTCATAAACGTTAATACTTAATCATAGTTTTTATATTAATACTTCCTTAAATGTTTTAAGAAAGTTTTTGATGAAACATATCTACTTTTTATTTTATTTATTGACAAGATGGATAAAGACCAAAATGATGTAATAGATTTTAGTGAGTTTATGGGATGTATGGCCGCGAGAAAGAAAAATGATCACATTAACTGTTTGACTGAAGTAAGTAAATTACTATCAAAACAGTTTTAAAATATATATGACATTAGGAACAAAAGTTATATTGAGGGGGGGGGGAGTTTTTTTTAGTCATTTTTTCAGTTAATTTTTACAAAATTATTAATTTAAAAACTATTGGGGAGGGGCAATCTCCCTGCCGTCCTCCCTCCCCCGTCCCCAGTTGCTACGGGTCTGTATAAGCCTCTATCTATTAATTAAGTTCCATTAGGAACGAGCTTTTAATCTAAATTCAAACTCGCTAAAGTCAATTCTGTTTTAAAAAATGGCGATTGCGACGTTTCAAATTTACCTTTGGTTTCTAAAACTTATGAAAAAGTAATTTATATTCGAAAAATATACTCACTTGATTTTAAACAATAGTTTGCTATTGTTACTTATTAATGCTAATTACTCATATTTCTAAAAAGCATTCCCAATTACCTGGCTAAAAGAATTGTTGTTACATTTGATTACAGAAGAAAAAATAAAACGATTAGCAGAACTAAAAAATGTGACTAAAAGAATGTGAATTTAAAATGCAAAACTCCAAGAACCATGTTTATGTATATTTCTATTTTAAAAACAATGTGGTGATATTAGAATAACATGGTTTTATCTCGAATTTGTAACGTTAAGAGGATTTTACTTTAAGTTTTTAATAATTTAAATGTTTTACAACTACTGTTGTTTATATTGACAAAATTCATGATTTTTATGTTAACTATGTTTTATAATAATATTATTGTTTTTTTAATCATCTACTGTAAATTATGAACTGCAATTAAATTCTGAACTGCAATTAGTTTTAATTTTTTTAATTTAGTGGCTTTTATTAAGAGCTTTTAAATTTTGTGTCAAATTATCTCATTTCAAAATATTCTTTGTATCATCTATACTGCAGCCGTTTTTCAAAATGCCTCAAGAAAAAAAAAAAGCAATTTTGACTTTTTTACAAAATAAGCTAGTTTAGATGTCTACAAACGTTATTAAATATATTTTTTTCAAAGAGTTCTAAAAAAATTCTTAAAAGTTATTCGTTTTAAAAAACGTTTTACAAAGAGTTTTTCCTAATATTTTTTTTTAATTGCGTTTATCTCGAAATACGTAGGTAGAGCGGGGCATATAGGGACACTTAAGAAACAAATGCTTGTTGCAGATAAACTAATCAAAATTAACACTATTTTTTTATAATTTTCCTAAAATTTAGTGATATAAGAAGACGGAAAAACAAAATAAAAATTTCTAAAAATAAGCTACGACAACCAAAGTAACGAAACACTAGACTTGTTCAGACATTAAAATCTTAAAAAAATAACATTTCCATACAAATTACACACCCATACACCCATACACCACAAAAAAAAAAAAGAAAAAAAAAGTTACTCAAATAAAAAAACTTTTTATTTTTTATTATAAAACTCTAATACAAACAAACTTAAGATATTGTTCTAAAATTTAAGTTGGGCAAAACTAGTATATGTTATTAAATTGGTAAATCTAAAATTAAACAAAAAATATTATGGCTTACATAAAGCACAAAAAATATTCGGAAACTATTTGGTAACAGTTTTTAAGGAGTTGGCTTATTAGCAATATGCCAATGTAGAGCAAATTTAAATATGCTATATATATCTGCAGTTTTTCGAATTCTCAGTTCCTTTTTATTCACAGCTAAAACTGCATTTCATTCCGTTTTGGATGATTTATCTTTCTTATATAATTTCTTAATATAGTTGTTTACATTAAACACTATTAATAAACGAAGTTAAGTTATAAAAATAACAATTCCTTTTAACTTATTACTAATATTGCGTTTCTAAATAATAAAAATAATATTTTAGATTAAAAATAAATACATCAAACTGTAAACAAAATGGTAATAATATTGTCAATTACATAAATAACTTTTTGTCCCGATATGCCCCATAAAAGTCATTTTACTGAATTTAAAACTATTCACAATGTTCAATACCAGATATTTTTCTAAAACCAGATTCTAAAAGAGGATAAAAAATACTGTCTGAAAAATATAAACTTTTTAAAAATAAAGCAAATTAGCAATAGTTCAAGATAAATCTTTTGTCGTTGTAGCGCTTAAGAAAATAGGCAAATTTTGTTTTTTGCAAACATATTAATGCATTTTGGTACTTTTAATGCATTTCAGTAATTCCGTAAAAATTTTTTTTTTTTACAATAATGAAGCACAATAATTTAAAATGTTTTATCAAAAAAAATAATTTTTAGCCGATATATAAAGTTTCAGGTATAACTGTCCCGTTATACCCACTGTCCCAATATGCCCCGCTTTACCCTAATAAGCATATTAAGGCGTTTTGGAAAACGGCTGCATATATTTCAAAAGAAAGTCAAAAGAAAGTTTTTTCAACAACAGCACCTTTGGAGAAGCAGGACTGTTTTCTTGATAAGTCTTTCTTTAATAAGTTTCAGACACTTTTTTTTAGACTATCCCCAGCTTATTAGGACTAATTACCTGAGCACATTATTGACATAAGTATCTCAATCATGACACATTAGCAACAAATATTTTTTCCCGATGTTTTGACGTTTTAAGAACTAAAATACTTTCAAAAAGCTTTTTAAAAAGTATTTTCGTTTGTTAAAGTGTATAATAACGTTACATATGTTTTTATATAATCTCTATATAACGTTAAAAGTATTTTGTAATTAAAAATAATCGAAAAAAATTAAAAAAAAAAAAGTCACCAGTGGTAAGACTCGGAACCACCGCTTTTTTGTTCAGAAGCTCTGCGCGCTATCCACTCGGCCATGCTGGCACATTGTCTTACGAAATTTTTTAAAAGTATCTAATAATTTTTTTTAACGGAAATAAATGCTACAGATCAAAACTAGGCAGATGTTGCCACAATGCAGCTTTAAAGTGAAAGTCAAACTGTAAAACATTATACATGTTTTAGCATGTTTTAACATTACATAATTTCAAGTTTACGTAATGTGTTCTTTTTTAAAGATATTTATACGATACCAATCAAGTTAGATAGTTAAAGTTTTTCTTTTTTTGTTTAAATAATTGTTGAAGATGACAAAATGTAAACCTTAAAAATCATTAAAGTAATTAGAATATCGAAAGAAAATTTTCTTTGATTATTTTCCTCAAAATTTGTATTTGAAGGTAAAATCTTGCATAAAACATTAAATTAAAAAATATTTTTTTGAAAAATATGTTTTAAAAACATTTCTGTTGAATTAGAACTCTTACCTTTTGTATAGTTATACCTTTAATTTTATTTTAAGCACATTGTTTTTTAACCCTTTGTATTCTTTTAAATTTTTTTAAATTTCCTTAACCAAATTTATTAATTATATAATTTAAATAAATTTGTTTATAATATGTTTTATGATTGCAGGCATTTAAAGTGTTCGATCTTAACGGAGACGGATTTATTAGTGCCAACGAATTTCGCACCGTTATGAAGAGTTTAGGTAATGACGCAAGCAGCGAAGAAATTGATGATTTAATAAAATACGGCGATGTTAATGGTGATGGCCTAATTGACTATGAAGGTTAGTAAATCTTTAGAACATTTAAATAAGTGATTAGGAAGTAAATAAACGCTTCAAGTATAATTCTTTAACTATGATTATAGTCTGAAAGATCTTTTTAGTTTAAAAATTGAGTAACTGAGGGTTAGTTAGGAATTGAGGGTTAGTGATGAGGGACAAAGATTAGTGTCACAAGGTGAATAATCCCCATTTTACGGGCTTTTTTAAACTTACAGTCTCAACACTTTTTTTGCTAATTGTAACAAAAACATAGCATGCGCATTTTTTAAATTAATTAATTCGAATATGAAATCACGTTTTTTTAATTTTTGCCATGATTGTTCCAAATATAAGTTTTAGAAAATTTAAAGTTTAGAATATTCAAATTCATTTCAGTGAAAAACATATCAGTGAAAGTAAAATATCTCATAAACAATTTTTTTTTAAAAAAGTGAAATAGCATTCTATTAAATAGCATTTTATCTATTAAAAGAAGTTTACTTTTATTAGAATAAATAGCTCTTTAAAATCTTCAACATTTAAATAAACGTAATATATAATTGGAATCTTGTAAATCGTAATTAAGAATTCATAAAATTAACTTTTTATTTTGAGCTAACAATCCAGAGACATCTGACCACTTTAATTTAAGTGAGCTACGTTTAATTACAGCTGACATCTGGTTACATCCACGCACACAATCACGCGAATCATATTTTGAAACGAAATTCATTGAAACAAATATTAATCGAAACAAAAAAGACATTTAATGTTTGGCTATGTGAAAATTAAATTTTAAAAACAGAAGTAATATTTTTTAAATATTGCGTCGGTTGTTTTACAAAACAGAGCTTTGTTGTTGTTTGTCAACACAGAGCTAATGTAGTATACAATTTATTTTTAATGTTACTTTTAGTTTTAGGACCAGATTGTTTTCATTGAGTTTAATATTAAACTGTAGAATCTTAAAAATTTTAACTGGTCTGTTAAATTTTCAAACAAACTTTCTTAGTAAATGCGATGAATCAAATGTATGTTTAAACCAGGGCTGTGGAGTCAGAGTCGGAGTTGGTGTTGGAGTTTCAGAGTTGCAACAATTTTAGCGGAGTCGGAGTCGGAGTCGCTAAAAAAAATCTCTTAAAGTAAAATTTCTCGGTATTGCACATGCAATTACAAAAGATTTAATTAATCTTATGTTCATACTAAACCTCAAAGAACGTTTCATAAATTGTCGAAAAAAAAAATTTAACTTATTTTGTTAAGAATTCAAAGAATTTTTCAAAAACTTTGCTTTGGAGTTGAAGTCGGAGTCGGAGTTAGAGTCGGAGTTGTACTCAAAAAATTTCAACAACTGGAGTCGGAGTGGTTACTTTTTTTTACGACTCCACACCCCTGGTTTAAACCTTTGAACATTTTTTTATTTTTCTTCTTCTTTTTCTTGATTTCTTTGCTGGTCCCACACACTTTTTTTTTTCACGAATTTTTTTCTACAAAAATGGTTGAAATTTTATTACTATCATTTAACCAGATTATCTGTAAACCATTTGCTTTGCTTGTGATATTGTCTCAATATTTTATTTTTGATAGCCACCAAAACCATTTGACAATAGTTTCCAACCTATTTTACCAAAGTGTATGTTAATCTATGTTATTTAATCTATGTTCAATTTAATAATTTTTCAGTTTGATTGGCCTAAAACTACTACTTCGATAAAATTTTATTATTTTTTCTAAAAGTTTGCGCTAAAATCAACTAATTGTATTTGCTTAACGTGTTAAATAACCTTTATTCTGTCATTTAAGAAAGACAAAGCATATAGACTTTTTTCAATATGTTTCGTGGTATCCCAGCAAACTTTTGCTCTAAAAAAGACGCTTTCAATACGTCTTTTTTTGACCAAATGTTAAACGAATGAGACGTTTTTTTAATACTTCTTTTTTAGACCAAATGTTTAAACGTATTAGACGTTTTTTATACGCCTAAAAGACGTCTTTTTTAGACCGAATAATTGCCGGGATATAATTGCTAGGGGTTCATCGATGCATTGGCATCGGCCAATGCATCGGCCGATGTATCGGCCATTTAGCCGATGCATCGGCATCGGCCTTGATAACCATCGGCCGATGCCAATTGTTTTGAAAACTTTTAAAACTTATTAAATTCTTATTAAATAAAACTTATTAAATTCAAAACTTTTTTACATACAAAACAGAAAAAAGATCTTTACAAAATTCATTCAAAATGTACTATACATTAATATAGTGTAAAATCAAGATATTGGTACAATATTGGATTATAATAGTACGATTTTGGATCTTGTTTCCTTAATTGCATATTTTTAAAAATTTAGTTCCCTATGAAATACCAACGTTTAAATTTTGACATATTTTAATCTTTTTAGAACAGTTTATCCCCAAGTTATTAAATACAATAAAGTCTCATTGTTTCTACTTTGTATATTTTCTCTATTATTGACTTTATTCTTAGAGGGTACAATATCGGCAAGCTTACCGATATTGTACCCTCTAGCTTATAAGCCTAATTTATTAATAATAAATTTTATATAGGCATATATGCAACCACTAAACTAAAAATTTTTGAACTGCTTTCAACAGGGTTCCATACTTTTTAAGTGTTCTCTTAAAATTTATAAGAATTTTTTTATTAAATAATAATAAATTATAAAAAGAAAATTGCTTTACAAGATTTTTTTGAACAAAGATTTTTTTTGAAACCCTTTCTGTTATTTTTTACAATCAAAATGTTTCATTACATTTATATTAAAATTAAATAATAAAAAAGTTTATTATTAAATTGAAATCGTTTAATATATAAACATTCAATATAAGTATTGTTTTATAATTTAATTTCGTAAAAACATTTGCTATAAACTTGCCTATTATTAGTAACGACATCAAAATCTTTTATTCATTTTTTATAAAAAACGAAATCGTTTTAATTTAGCAGAATGACGAAAATAAAAATTTATTAAACGAGCTTTTCTTGAAGTAGCTGCTCAAATTATCTAGAGATCAATTAAAAATTAAATGGAAAATAAACTTTAACAGTAACAACTTTGCTTTCATTGTCACATGAATAAAATATTGCTTTCATTGTCACATGAATGGATAGTGGCATTTCCATTCAAGCGTATATTTCCATCATAAATCCAATATCAGTGCCCATCGGTATCGGCCAAAAGTAGCCATCGGTGCACCCCTAATAATTGCTGGGTGACTGGACTTGGTTATTCAAGCACTAAATGAAAAAAAAATTGACAAAATAAATTTTAAAACAAATATAATTTAATAAAAAGTTGTTAAGACGTAGTGTTTTAAAATTAGGTGAGTCTACTCACACGCACGTGTGAACAAACGCAAATATAGGGGCCCCCAAATATTTTAGCGGACCTTTTTTTTTTTTTTTAAGTCATTTTTAGGCTCTGGGCCATTAAAAGGCCTCCAAAAACAAAAATTGCCCATGGCCCCAAGAAGTCTTAATCCGCCACTGCGTGTGAATAGACTATATCTTATTATAGTCAATTCGCACGTTTAAAAGAAAATTTCAAGTTTGATTTTTAATAGTAAATTTCTCACAATCAAAAAATGTTTATAACTTAAGTCATATATTTTGAAAGCAATTTAATTTTTCTAATCAATTATAATAAAAATAAATAAAATTACTCAAACATAATTAAATTTTTATTCAAAAAACGAACAAAAACGTGTCAATAGATAAAAGAAATACTTCTTTTTTTTAATTAAAAGATTGCCTGCCCAAGCCAATACCCTCGTCATTGTATTTATACTACACTGTGCCTATCTCTAAAAAGCAGTCAATATGTATATACACTACGGTCCGCATATCCTTCAAAAGTCAGTCAAAGTAAGTACTGTGTTAGTACTCCACGGCGCTAGCTTAATTTTAAAGTTAAAAACTAATAATGATAAATCTAATTTTTTTAAATTGCCTTTAAATTAGATGATATTTACCTTTTCTTAATTAAACGTGCGAGTAGACTATAACTAAATATAGTCTATTCGCACGTAAAAAACGTGCGAATAGACACTCTGTTTAAAATATGACAAAATGATCTTTCTATTTCATAATTTTTAATGATGCACACCTAAAACTTATTGACATAATCGTTTTATAACAGCCTACAAGCTTACATTTACAATTTACGAATTCTCAATATATTGTAATTTTTTATTTACACCACGGGTTTTTTAATTACATGTTTCAATTTCATATTTTATGTTTTTTAATTACATTTTTGGTACACTACTAAAAAACGCTTTTTCAATAAAAAATCTGAATAACCCAAAAATAATATTTTTCTGATAAGAAATGTTAAAAAAACATTTATTTTATAATGAATTTTGTAGATTGATGCATTATTATGCTTTATTCCGGTTAACTGATAAATTTTTAATTTAAGGACTTATTTGAAATTTAATTACAAACTATTGCAGATTTGCTTGAAATATCAAGTTATTGAAGTTAGCAAATGAACTAATTTCTCTATCAAGAAGGATTGAACCGGAATATTTAAAATCTGTTAGCCGAACTTCAGTAGCATACTGAATATATCCTAAAGTCACCAGGCACAAATTGTTATTTAAATATCGTTTAGCAATTAGACACTTCTTTCCTTTATACATTTTTGTGTTGACCTTATTTGTTTGACACGAGGATTGTTAAACTGATTAGGCATAGTTAATGTTTACCCAGTCACCTAATAGCCATTAAATTCCTTTAAATTTTTTTCCATTCATATTACCTTTACTGCTGTCATTAAGTTCCCATTTCAACTGATTTACTAAAAGTATTCTTTTGAACTCATACTATGGCATTCAATGATTCATTCACTTTTTTGAGTCTTACCCAGGAGTGTGGAGTCGTAAAAAAAAAGTAACGACTTTGACTGCGACTCCAGATGTTGAAATTTTTTGAGTGCAACTCCGACTCCGACTCCAGCTGTTGAAATTTTTTGAGTACAACTCTGACTCCGACTTCA